AGGAAAGCTTTACCTAATTGCATTCTATTTCTATAAATTATATAAGGCAGAACTAAATTATCCTATTTATAATAAAAAATTCCTAGTAATTATTAACTACTTTAAGGAGTTTAGATATTACCTTATAAGAAATATATATTAAATTAAAGTCTATACTAACTATTAGAATATTTTATACTTTATTATAATATAAGAACTTAACTAATAATAATTATATTATATTAAATACCTATATAAATTTAACTTTATAATTATTTATTATAAGGGTTTAGATAATAGATAAGCTAATGCTATTAGTTAATGCCTGGATTATAATACTAGTATAATAAAAGTAAAAAAATAACTTTTAAAAAAGAATAATAAAGGAGAATATTAATTTATATAATAAGTAAAAACTCTAAGACTTATAAATAACTATAAACCTATAAATTAAGAAGAATAAATAAATAAAATCTAAAATGCCATTATAGGATATAACCTTTAAGATCTTATTAGAAATAGAGCTAAAATGCCTACTTATAACAATAAACTATAAGTACCTAAATAATTTAGGGAAGAACTAGTATAAGATATATATAAATATCCCCTACATAGCCACTAAGGCATTAAGAAAACCCTAAAACGCATATAGATATATTATAATTAAGAAGGAATTAGAAAAATAGTAGAAAAGGTTATTAAATAATATAACTTATATATAAAAACTAAAGTATAATAATATAAACCTTATAGCTTATTGCAATTACTAGAAGTAATAGAAAGATTATAGAGTTTAATTATAATAAACTATATAATTAAGCTACCCTTATTAGAGGAACCCTTAACTAAAATCTTTTATAATAGTATCTTAGTTATAATAGATTAACTTATTAAATTTTCTTATTATATACCTTATAAGGAAAATATAAATATAAAGTAACTTTTATATATCTTTTATAATAGGATAGTTAGAGAATATAGATTACCTTATAAAATCTTAATAGATAGAGGAATAATATTTATAAGTAAATTTTAGCAGGTATTAATGTTATATATAGGACTGAACTACTAACTCTTAATAGTATTTAGATTATAAATAGATAGATAAACTAAATAAATAAATTAAGTATTAAAACAATACTTATAATATTATATTAATTATAAATAAAATAATTAGGTAGAAAAGTTATTAAGTGCCTAACTTGCTTATAATATAGTATATAATAAAAGTATAGAAATAATACCTTTAGTAGTAAACTTGAAATTTACCCTAGATCTGTATTATATAGCGCGAGAATTAAAAATAATTAACCTAGCTGCTATAATTAAGAGTAAAGACCTAAAAGCTTTATATAAGGAATTAAGGAAAAAATTAAAATTTATTAGAAAATAAATAAAAAAATACTATAATATAAAAAGGATTAAGAGATTAACCTTCTTAAAGGGAGATATAGTTTACTTAGCTATAAAAAACATTATAATAAAACAATTAAGCTATAAATTAGATTATAAGTATATTAGATTATATAAAGTTAAAAGAAAAATCTTAGAAAATAATTACAAACTAGACCTATAACTAAAAGTTAGGCTCTATCTAATCTTTTATATTACACTGCTTAAATTAGTAGCTAATATAATATAAGTTAAAACTAGTAATAAACTAGAAGAAATTAAAGGACTAGAAGTTTATAAAGTAAAAGTAATTAGAGATATAAAGAGAATTAATAAATAAATAAAATATCTTATTAAATAGAAGAATTACCTAGAAAACAAAAACATATAGGAACTATTTAAATACCTTATTAATGCCTAATAACTCCTAAAGAACTTTTACTAATAAATTTAAAAGGGATATTACTTAGAATTAAGTTCTAATTAATTAGGTCTATAGTACTTAAGGACTAAGCTTTAAAGATAGTTATAAACTCCTCCTAAATCTTACGTAACTCCTCTTAAGATTATATTCCTTATATAAATAACTTATTACCTTTTCGCTTTAATATATACTTTTATTTATAAATGCACTTTAACTTTACTATAGCAGCCTCTAGAACTGCCTCAGTCTCTTCCTCCTCCTTTTCTAACTTAATATAAACTTTTATATTTTTCTTTACTATTAAGGGATTAAATTAGGAATAAATAAATAAAAAACAAAAACTTATAATAGGAAGCAATACCTAAACTATTATATATTACTTTAGCCTTAATATAGTTTTAATACTAATAAGACTAGTTACCCTTAACCTAGTAAGAAAGACTATTTTAGAAATAATAAAAATATAATATAATTTTATTACTAAATCTAATAATATACTTAGAAAGTTTAACTGCCTCTAATATTTTTAGATATAATTTACTTTTAAAAATATAACCTAATATCTTATTAGCATTTAAATAGAAATAGGATTAAGTTTAGACTTATAACTAATAAACTAATAAAGGGATAGATATATAGGTCTTAAGGATAAGACCTAATAGAGGGGAGAGATTATATTATAACCCTAGCAGTTATATTATATAAGCCCTATTATTTTTCTTTAATTAAAAATAAAACTATCTATCTTATACTAAACTAACCTTCTAAATAGTTTAATCTACTAATAAGATAAGGACTAATAACTTTCCTTTAACAGTCTATTTAGACTAATATATAAATATTATTAGTCTATAAGGGACTAATCCTATTTTACTACCAGTCCTTATTATAACCTTAAGTATATAGAATATATTTATTAGCACTTTTATAGATTCTAGCTTACTAGCTATTAATAAGACTTCTTTACCTAAATATGCCTAACCTGCTTTATTTACTATTAAGAGATGTAATACTTTGTAACTGCTTAGTATAATGCCTTATAACTCTGCAAACATTAAACCTAGTATAGACTAGTTTACCTATTTGGAACCTATTCTATTATATAAAGGCAGGGTTTTATAAAAATTCTAATAAAGTTAAAATAAAAGGAATTATATTAAGTTATATATAAATTAGTTAGTAATAGTTAAATTAACTTAAAGTTATAACTTAATTAATTTAATATATATAGTTTAAAGGTAAAGAGTAATAATAAAGAAAGGACTATATAAGATAATATCTTCTAACACTTCTTAACTGCAAGCTAAGTATAGACTGCCAGTTAGGTTTAATTAAGATAGGGTCTTCATTATAAGATAGAGAATTAAACAATCAGTTTAATAGTATTAAATATAAAGGAAAAAGAATAAGAATTAAGTCTGAAGAAGCCTCTTAAAAAGCATAAGGAGAGTCTTTAGTCCTAAAGGGATATTACCCTTTTATACCTTATTACTATAGACATCTATCTAGCCCTACTAACAAGCTTAGACCTCTTACCCTGGAATGCTTGCTATAACTGTTATAATAGTAAGGTATATAACTACTTAACCTTAAATATAAGAATAGATAAAGTAAAATTAGTAAAAAAGCAGTAATTTAAACTAGGGAAATATTTAATTATATTTTTTAAAAGATATTTAATTATATATAAATAGTTTAATAATTATAAATCTAAAGAAATAATATTATATATAAGAAATATATAATCTTATTAATTTTTATTTATTAAAAAAAGTAATTAAGATTTTAAATATTAATTAACATTAATAACCTTTTTATATAAATAAGAACTAAAACCTAAAAATAAAAGTAAGTTATAAATATAAAACTTATTTAGTTATTTATAAAACCTTTAAAAGTTTTATCCTTAAATATAATATTATTAACCTTAATTATATAATAAACATCTTAATCTCTTTAAGTTATAATTTATTTATAATAAATATAATAAACCTTAGTAAAATATATTAAAAATCTTAAATAAAAAGTTAAATAAAGTATAAAGGTATAAGGTAAAGTTAATAGAAAATCTAAAGAGTAAGGTTTATTACTATTATAATAAGTTAAATAATAAATAAATAATAAATTTAGAAATTTAATAAGAAAAAATAATTTCTTAATATATAAAGTATTTCTAATTTAAAATTTTATATATTAATTTAGTTAAGCTTTTAATTATTACTTATAGTATTTATTAATTTATATATATAATTAAGAAAATAAGTAGTTATTTATAAGTGCAGTATAATATATTATTAGCAGAGAGAAAGGCAATTATAAATACAATTTAAGCTGTTTTGGTATTATTTAAAATTAAGATAAATTATAGGTATTAGAGCAGAGAGGAGTTACTGGGCATTTGTGATAATGCTACAATTAGGGAGCCGATGGGATCGCTCATGAGTGGGAAATGCCTTGAACTGCAATTCCGAAGGGTAAAGATGTCGATTTGCCGTCTCAAGTGAGTACCCGCCCCTGCCTTTTCCGCCTAATCTTGCTGCCTCCTGTGAAGGAACTATATCTTGCGGCTTTCCCAGTTGCTTTTATCCGGATGCGGGAACGCTAGTCAGGGAATGATTATATTATTTGCTCACTCGAAGCTGCTTTAAACTTTCTTCGTCTGGCTTGCAGCATGTGATCTCTTTTAGCTTACCTGATAGCTATCCGTTATCCGGGGCATGTGAAAATAGCGGATCCCGATAGCCGCCTCAGAAAGGCCGACTGCCTGACATAATCATCACCATTTTACCGCACTTTCTAAAGAGCATTTTTATAAAAACAATCCCAACGTGGGGTTTTTATTTTCAATCGGCCGCTATGTTATTGAATTATCGCACCAAGAACATTAGCCTTTGCATCTGATATCAGTAATCGCTGCTACCATCTGCCATAACCACAAAATCATTAGAAAGTTCACATGCTACTCTGCTTCCCGATTTTCGGTTTAGTAAGTTCTGCCTATAGAATTTGGTTTACATGCAGAGGTCTTACCACCGTCGTATATGGGCTTATCGCCCACCCTAAGAGCACTCGAAGCCGGGTTGGCACTCTAGAACTTGATTAAGCATGTGAAAAGGCGTCGGACAGGGTGTGGTAACACATGTAGAACCTCTCTGGTCATCATATGAGCGTCTCAATTATCATGAATACGATACAACTGGGGCGCGAAATTCAATGGATCAATGCACACTCTTAATGCTGGCGGAAAAAACGGGGCCATAATCAATTCATCTACTCTCACTGCATTCCTATTCGCCGGATACAGGAAAAGCCTTACAAAACGAAGGGTTGTAACATTATAATGCGCTCTACTTGGATAAACCGCAGCCTTCGGGGCTTTGTTGGCCACGGATGCTCTGGATCTCTGCTACGGTTGGATTCTTCGTTCACTCAAGATGCTATTTTCCCATGATCACTCATCCCACGACCCTGTTCATCCCGTTTATCCCATTGTCCCTATCCAGATCCAACAGGATGTTCTCCGGACAGAGCAATCTCGATAAACTCTCCTTGACTCGATAATTCACCCTCCCACCCTCCTCGTACGCTACGCTCATCTTCTTTTCCGGGCGCATCACGTACTCGGGTATCGGCTGGACGCCCCTCTTCACCCACTTCCACCCCTCACTGCCATCAGGTCTCTCGATGGCATATCCCTGCAACGACACCGGGTTGTAGTTGAGGTTGTCCTTGCGGATTCGAGTGATAGGGTGGAAATACTCGTTCGTGGCGCCACTAGTGCCGTCGCCTGGGTCCCGCGGATAAGTGCCCGGTGTGCGGTCTTTCTTCCCGAGAAGCCAGAAGAAGAGGCCTTGCAGCCCGGAGAAGTTGTCGAAGATCGGTCCACAGCCCCAGCCGCTGGTAATCTTGATGGAATTGAGCGCGCGGCGATGCTCCTCGATGAGAGTCTTGATCGCGGCATCCTCGAACGTGAGCATGCTAGAGAGATTGTCTACCTGGAGCATGGGGAAGTCAGTTGATTTGGATGGTAACTGAGGTAGTAGGATGGGAAGGAACTTGCCATCCACGCAAATGTATTGTGCCCGATCTCATCAAAGTCAACCGAGGCATGCGAATCGTCGCTTTCGCCGCCGATATTGGCGTGGACGCCGGGAAACCAGCATTGCTGCAGATCTTTCGCAGGACCGTCAGAATTCTTGTGCCACAGGGTAGGAGGGAAAGTTAGTCGGTTTTCGTCAATGGCGAGGGCTTGGAAAGCATAGTCTAGATCTGAAGGAGTCGTCGTTTAGGCTCAGCTGTTCTGCGAGGAACACGTGCGATGATACTCACTTTTTGATACGTTCGTATTGTGGAATGCATACTGCTTGTTGATTGGGAGGCCAGATTTTCTCGCCCAATCCACCACGGGCCATTCCGGGATTCCCTAACCATGCAAGGTCAGCCAAACGGGAGAAGGATGCATTATAACTTGCGTCGCGTACCAGAGCTCCAACGGTGTCCCAAACACCAACCACCTTGACCCTGACGTCCGTAAGGCCTAACTCTTCCTTATTATCCAGATACCACGCTGACTTCCTGAAGGGCTCGCCGCTCGTATTCGAACGGTACACGCTCCACATCTCTGCGAAGCGCGACATGTGCACAGCTGAAAGGACGCCGACGTCGCAGACAAGGCCGGCGACCGAGCGCACAGTGAAAGCCCCACGTGAGAAGCCGAAGAAGAACAGCTCATCGCCAGGCTCGTAGTTATTGGAAATGAAATCGTAGATTTGAGCCACATCGATGTCGAGACCCCGTCCAAGACCACCTATGAATTGCGGTAGCAAGCACGTCAGTAAAGCTGTCAGAGGGAAAGCGAAGAGGAAGATTTGGATTTCAGCAGCTCACCGTAGATAGCTTTCTGGAAGGGGAGGTCCCCGCTTCCAAGGCCCGAATGGTAGGATATGATCTGCTTCACGACGTTCCCTTCAGCATCAAGGCCACCGTTCGCAACTGCTCGAGCCAATTTAGCGACGTTGGAAGGCATGGCCTTTCCGCCCGTATCGGACGCAAGCCATGTGCCGTCTGCGCAGAGGATGATTCGCTTATAGCTTGCTAGCTTGGTTGTGTCTTCCGGCATAGTGTAGCAAGGCTAGATGGTTGAAAATAAAAAGGAGAAACTGTCAGTTTGTGGGGCCGGTTTTTCTAGGGAATCATTGATGAAGGCTGGTCTATCAATGGGGGTCTGTAGATAGTGAAATACGCTGGTGGTCAAATTCGGCCTTTAATAACAGAGTCCTAGTGGCTCGGTATTGAACAGGATATTAGAGCTAGGCGCCACGATTCATGTCGTCAAGTTAAAAATGTTCGCGGCAAAGGTAATAATAGCATGCCCGAGCTTAATAATCTAAAAAGTTTAAATCTAATAATAGACTTCCCTTTCAACTTATGCTTTTAAATATTCCAAAGCATCATAAGCCTTCAAGAGTCTAGATATCAATATACCTGAATAAAACATTGCAGTCGTATTCGAGTTAAATTTTATTCAAGCTGCCTGCTATAATTTAAACAAATTTACCAAAAATAATAAAGTTATAAAGTACTTGAATTTTGTCACATGTTGGCTAGAAACATGGAGAACTCAGGGAAAAGACTGTACGCACGGGCCTGTTTGTGTGCGTTTTGTCGAAATGCAAGAGGGGAGGCTACATTAGGACATCACGTAAGCTTACGTCTATACGTTCCATATAACTCTTCTAGGTCTAGCACTGTGGAATGGGCAACCTGTACAGAAATAACTTAATCCTATCTCTTTAAGCGGCACAAGTCGTCAAGGAGGTCACGACAGGGGTCTAGGGCCAATCAAAATTAGTTAAGCAAAAGGTACCTCCATACACACCTAATCTAGCATGTAATATAAATACTAACAGGTCGTATTATTACAAATTGCTATATCGCATACTTTACAGCTGTATCGGCTATATAGACCTTATTTATTTCCTAATATCGGTTAGAGATAACCTCCTTTTTCCTTCCTTTTTTTAAAGGGTTAAGGCCGCCCTTGCCGGCAGCCTTTGCAGGCTAGGCAGGGCGAAGAAGGGCCTCTATAGACATAATTAATATCTCTTTATAGGTGATTTTGCCGTGCTTCTATATCCTTGCTATCTTCTTCCTTCCCTAACCGGCTTCTCTTCCTTATGCTGCCTTTAGCAGTATAGATGTTAAAAATAGCATTATAAATGCATTCCTTCTAAGCTTATAATATGCTATAGGGCTTCTAATAAGGATGCCGGGTCTTCTTTTATAAAATAAAGCTATTTGCAAGTGCGACTTTAAGGAGGAAATTCTAAAATAGTACTTGCTAAGGACTGCGCCAGAATTAGTGCTTATATATTATATAGGACCTTATCTAATTACTGCAGTTAATATAATTTATTTTATTATTATACTAAGCGGTAATAGTAGGAATAGGGATTATCTTAAAGCTATCCTTATTAAAAACCTACTATAGCTATTATGCCTCTATCTTTATATCTCTCTTAGCTAGCAGCTTCTTCTTTTTTAATATATGCTTATTAGGGGCGCCGCTATATATAGTTAAAATAAAGATAACTATACTACTATCCTTTTAAGTAATTTAAATAACTTAAAGAGAATAAAAAGGGATAAATTAATAAGGGAAATATAGCTAAAAGTTATTTATACCTTTTTATCTTATATTAGGATTAGTATAACCTTATTATACTTTAATAGTATATTATTAAGAGCTTTTCTAGTCTTTTTTATCTTCTTTATTATAGTACTAATACTGCAGTTAGGGCATACTATGCCTATAGCACTAAAGCCAAGCTGCTAAAAAAGGCAGAAGAGCTATAATAATAAGAAGAGGTTATCTATAAAGATATAATATATTTAAGGAAGCAGCCTTTTTACTAGGTATACTATAATGCTTTATATATTATTAAGAAGGATTTTAGTTAGTAGCTTTCTCTTCTTACTAACTAGCTTTAGTATAGGTAGGTTAATAATAATAGCAGTATATAATAATAACTTTATATACTAAAGCTACTGCAGAAAGAAGCCTTATTAGGCAATAACTTAGACTTTAAAGCCTACTAATATAGGCTTTCCCTTAATAAGCATTATCTCTTTTAATTTGCCTATAAATAGCATTATATACTTATTTATAATTAGATTAGTCTCTAAAACATAAAGCTTATTTAATACCTTTTATATAAGGTTAAATTACTTTTTAGCTACTTAGAAGGTCTTTAGAAGATCCCCCTTATCCCTTATATTAACTTTAATATAGTTAAAAGCATAAAAATACCTATTAATTAGCTTAAATTTTTATAATAATATAAACTTAATAATTAAGTAAAGAGGGCGCTAATCTCCTAGATTAGGTACCTTTTAATAGTCCTTTATAGTTATTTCCTTATAAATCCCTAAGTAAATAATAACTCTAAGCTATATATATATTATTATAGTAAAGATGCCTTCCTATTAGAGGATATATAAGTATTTAGAAAGGGGGGTATTTTAGTTATTAATAATGGCATTTTTAAGTAAGTAAGTAACCTAGCTATTAATATATTAAACCTATAACTATATAAGGGAAATAGGTATAAAAAGCTAGAATAATTTAAGTAGTTCCTTAGGTAAAGGGTTAATCTTAAAATTATAATATTCTAAGTTAAAAGGTTAAAAATTATTACCGCGGCCCTCTTTAGGCGGAAAATTAGGCATGCCAGTAGGGTTATTAGCTGCCCTTAAAGGCAGGGTATTAAAGCTATAATTATCTATACTATCTTATATCTTTAAAGAGCTTATTGTTTTAATTATAATAGGCTAGGGATTATTTATATTAGGATTTTAATGAATTTGGTAGTAAAAAATCAAGCAGTTATCTGATGAGAACTTTATATACCTTGCAGGTACTAATGTGGTTAGTTAGCTAAGTGGGGCGAGTGACCTGTTGACGACTTGTGCCGCTTAAAGAGATAATGTTGAGTTTGCGACCGCCCCTGGCCCCCAACATGTACGGCAGCTCTGGGCGGGCCAGGAGCCGGATCCCCTTATAACTCGGGAAATTCCTAGCCACTAAGATTGGTTTGGTTGTCCTGTGGGAGGTCCTGCATCTCATTTTTTTGGTTTATATATGGGTTGCTTCAGCTAGATCAACCCCTGGTATCTGTTGCCGCAAGCTTGAGCGGGGTACAGGGAAATTTCCATATGCACGATTTGGTCAGCACGCTGTCACTTACACGGCGTTGCAACGGCGTGATATGGCAATATGACCTTCCGAAGCAAGGACCTAGCGTACTAACACGGTACTCGCTGCTGGATCAGTTCAATGCGCTATTAGGCGGATGGTGAGTCGTCCGGCGACTAGGAGGAACCTAGCAGTTGGGTTTTGCGGCACTCCTTTATAGCTCAGTAAGGGCCCTTAAGCCAGCCACCCACCATTGAATGCAATGATTGCCTAACTGCTACGTCAAGGCTTATTCCGGAGATCTGTTTGTCTCTTTTATAGCAAATTCATATGAGAAGGTCGTCTTCCAATACATACAGATTATATGGAACAATGAGGGCCGTCCTGCCAGGTAACCGTCCTCTTCGGCTATCCGTCAATACTGTCATGGCTTAATGCTCTTACAAGATCATTTACTAAAAGGCTATATGAAGCATAATACATATTCTTGTATTAATACATGAGAGGATTCAGCTAACCATACTCAAGCCCGTCTAATTGCTCTCACTGGCTACAAGGACTGATGGACAAGGTTGTGTTACTATAGAGCCTGGTGGTCACACATGAATAGATAATGCGTCTTAAGGTTTATCCTGGGCTGGAAACGTTATGGACGCGGTGGCCAGAAACATGACAATAACGTCGAGCTTGGTCATCGAAATAGAGTTAACCCGACTATAGCCTTGTAACTCAGTATCATGGTGCACTGCGCACCTGCCAGTAAGCTTAGCCTAAAAAGATTTAAGGTTCGGGCCGAGCGTAAGTATTAAGTCAGTGGCGATCATCATAAATAGCCCGATTGGATGCAATCATGGAGTCCTGTTATGGAATCACGTGCATCTACACTTGATGTCACACATGCCTACCCCCGAGCCCGAGTAGCGCATGGACCCCAGGGTAGAAAGGGGCTGCAACTCGAGTCGTAAACTACCGAGCAGATGTGGAGTTACAGCAACAAAGTAGGCTAGGCCAGATAGCGGGAGAGAAATAGCCTAAGGCAGATTGCACGCAGGTAGCCCAGAATCGGTTCGTAGGGGTTTCACTACAATTTTAGATTTGCTTAATAGTATTCATTGCTGTGGATAACTTTGATCCGTCTTAATTCAGTTGCATTTTCCATTCTCGGTGCCTCGTCTCCAGTGTACTACCCCCTTATTCCATCTGCCGTTAAACATTATGCTTTGGTAGTAGTCTAATGAGTATCGAAGTGCATCGATACTTGCAGATGACATACCAGGCTACATCGTTCAAGCTATCTCTGTTCCATTCACGGCTTTCAACAACTGCGAATTCTCCCCACCATGATAAGCATCAACCCCGAGAGAATAATGTGCACCGAATAGATGCGCCTTTCCCGTCTTGCTATAGAAAATCATGTTTGGGTCATAACCTGAGCCCTTGTCGTCGCGGTGCATCACAACGCCTAGCATGGCCACAAAGTCGGTTTCGTTCGCAAAATGCTCTGTAGTGTGGACGTATTTGCTTAAAGGCTGTTCAGTCCCATCTATCACCTTCCAGTCGATACTTGGGTTCCCAAAGGTGAATATTCTTAGCCTTTCCTTAATTATTCGTCTTTGAGGGGAGCCTTTTGGAGTCTCTGTTACCAGCGTCTGTAGCGCCAGGCGCAAGACCAGGCAACCCTGAGAGTGCGCGATCATAACGACTTTGTCGGGGACCTTACCAGCGGGGGGCCATAGAGCAGCCCTAATCTCTCGCTCGAGAGCCTTCTGAGCAGCCTTGCTACTCTGTGTCCTTTCGATAAGAGTATTTGGCTCACCGTCCCTGCGTTCGCCGCAACACTCAATAAAGTCCCAGAGGATACCGTCGCTTCTGTTATATACACCGGTGACTTCTCTGTTGAAGGTGTCACGGATCTTGTCGCATGACCGTTGAAACCAAAAGAATTCGTTTGCAATGCCGTTGATGAAGAGCCATTTCTCATTTGGTGGGGACGGGGGCCCGCCGTGAAGCGCTGAGATGTATGTTGGTGACGGAGGGGTGGCATTTGCATCAAAGTCGCTGCGTAGACTGACGTTTAGGTGAACATCGTCGAGTCCGTTTGGCATTTTGCCTCTGCC